CACACACACACACACACACACACACACAAACACACACACACACACACACACACGCACACGCACACACACACGCGCGCGCACACAAACACACACACGCACACACACACACACCTAAAAGGAAAAGCACCCCAGACAAACATGACTCACAACCTCACTGTCAAAACAATGACTAATACGGTGGAGCCAAACAACCAAAATGATTTAATCAAATACAGTAGGCTCACAACAAACTAAATATCTGTTAATTTTCTCTCCTACATCACATGAGCTTATCAGACTTATGTACCACGATATTATTTATTTAAACTAAGGATATATTCCATTCACAGCTTTGGGACAGTTAAAAAGTTCACCACAGTGACTCATGACAGATAAAATGCCTGAAAGAAACAGCAAACACACTCTCTTATCTCAAATAACAACAGAGGGGAAAATATGGAAAAAAAGACCAAACAAAATAAGTTACATTGTTTATATACAAGACAGGGATCATATTCCTTCTCCACTACTCAGCATACTGTGACTGACAGCTCCACTATTGTCTGTACAGCCAGGCAGCTGTATACACACAGCAAAAATGTATCACTACTTTGTTTCCTAAACACAAAGAGGGGTCTTTGCTCCTAACTTGGCAAATAAGGCCCCTGGCTACAACCGGTAACAAGAAAACTTGAGTCCACTGGAGTAAAAATAAATGCACAAAAGGAGGACTGAGGTACAGGCGAACTGGGGGTGGTGATCAAACAACCCCTCACAGACAAAAAGAGGAAACAAATCAAACAAGAACAGGATTACCAACGAAACACAAAACCAACGATCCCAGGCTAATCTGTCATCAGGCTAAGAGTGAGACAAGAAGTAAGAGTTCCTTACAGGGACATCACGATCTTTAACTCACAACTAATCAAATACTGGAACAAATAAAGTCCATATTAACTTAAAAACGTAGAGTCTAACAGATATGTGATATTTCTACTTGAAGGTGCATCATTTAGGAGCTGACAGATATGATTTCTGGCCTTTTGTTGAGAAAATCTTTCATGCAGCCCTGGTTTCTGCTGTGAATTTAACCATTTTACTTTAGAAAGCAAAGGCAACAAAGTATATTGTTTATCTTTCCCATCTATGTCCATTTAATTATTTTAAATGAATCAC